GGATGAGAGTGATGACTTCCAGGACCTACCCTGCTTCCACACCTACCCCACCCAGCCCCCTCCCCTACCGAGAGCAACCCATCCCCCATACTCTTCTTCTCTTCCGGTCTCAGCAGCCTGAGAAAGCCCTTCAAGAGCTCTCGAGCTGCGTGTGGGCTGGAGGGAAGGAAAGGGGTACAAAGAGAGGCCTGTCTCTAGAGATTCCTAGGAGGGCACGCAGGAGCGCCGATGGGAGTGAGGCTAGGGGTGGATTGGATGCGGATGCTAGGGTCTTGGGGAGGGGCGAGCTCAGCTGCTACCCCCGCTCCTTTTCACAGCCTGCTGGAGCAGTGACAAGATCACAGGGGAAGTGTTTTGACCACAGTGAGTCAGATGGTCTCGAGTCAAGACAGTCGCAACATTCTCAGGCAATTCGTGAGCGTAGTTTGGGTGGTGGGAAGTGGAACCTGCGGAGGCCGACTGCTGCCCCTTGTCAGGAGGCAAACACGTGGAAAGAACTTTGCCTTTGGGGAGAGGCACATCCCACAATCAGCGTGGCGCTCAGTCCGCCAAAGGGCGCTGGCTCACAGAGACTTCAGAGGAATTGGGCGTGCGACTGTCAAGCAATTGCAGTTGCTTTGCGGTGTTAGCTCTTGTGCTAGTCTACAAGGGAAACCTCCACCCACACCTCCCACCCTCCCACCCTCCCACCCCGGCAGCCAGCTGAGAAACTCCCCCACGCCCTAGTTTCAGGACTTAGGGAACGCCTACTACAATTCCTGTTCCCTGGGCCTCAGAGATCCCACACTATGGTTCTTGGGTGGCTGGATGGGAGGTTTTCTTAGTGTCCTTGTGCCTTGTGTACCCAGGACTACTGAGTTTTCATTCCCAATTTTGGCGAATTTCACTTGATAAGAGATTGCTGCTGTCTCTGAGGTAGATTCTGGCATGGGAGTGGGCTAGAAGCATAGCCAATCAGAGGTAGGCCCTGGGCTCCCTTGTGACACCAGCCTGCTCTGCTGGCTCCTCCCCTCTTCCTTTCCCCTCCTTCCAGTCTCTTTTCCTTTTCCCCTTTGCACAGCCACTGGGTTTGGCCCAGCTGCTCCTCTTGTCAGGAGCCCTACATGGCTTCAACAGCCTCCACCAACCCAGCACATGCCCACTTCGAGAGCTTTGTGCAGGCACAGCTGTGCCGGGATGTGTTGAGCAGCTTTCAGGGGCTCTGTGAAGCCCTGGGACTGGAGCCCGGAGGAGGATTACCTCAGTACCACAAGATCAAGGCCCAACTCAACTACTGGAGTGCCAAGTCACTGTGGGCCAAGTTGGACAAGAGAGCAAGCCAGCCTGTGTACCAGCAAGGCCAGGCCTGTGCCAACACCAAGGTAGATGTCCAGAGTCTGGCGGGGGTGGGATCAGGAGGGGTGTGAGCGGGACAGGGTGTGAGCGGGACGGACAGGGAGTCAGAAGGAGGCAAGATGCTGCATCTGCTGTCTGTCGTGTGTTTGCAGTGCCTGGTGGTAGGTGCTGGGCCTTGTGGGCTTCGAACTGCTGTGGAGCTGGCACTGTTAGGTGCCCGAGTGGTGCTTGTGGAAAAGCGTACCAAGTTCTCTCGGCACAATGTGCTGCACCTCTGGCCCTTCACCATCCATGACCTTCGGGCGCTTGGGGCCAAGAAGTTCTATGGGCGCTTCTGTACCGGTACCCTGGACCACATTAGTAAGAACTTCATGGTGGCCTTCGGGTGGGTATACCTGAGTCTAAAGGCAGGCCAATGGGCGACTGCGGGCCCAGAGAAGAGGCAGAGTGAACAAGAGTCATTTAGCTGGGTGACCTTTAAGATCCAGATCTGACATCTGTAAAAGGGACACTGTGAGCTGCTTGGTTTCTGAGCTGAGATGTTATCAGGTGTCTTCAGGGTTGTGTGGCCATGGATAGGTGCAGTGGTCTCTGAGACCTTCTCTAGCTCTGGACAGGCTCACACCAGAGCTAGGGAAGGCATGAGTCTGTTCCTAATGTCTCCCACTTCCAGGCATCCGACAGCTTCAGCTACTTCTACTGAAGGTGGCGTTATTGTTGGGGGTGGAAATTCACTGGGGCATTGCTTTCACTGGCCTCCAGCCCCCTCCCAGGAAGGGTAAGTATTTCTGTGCTTCTGGGAACCCCTATCCACCAAAGAGAGGTCTGTAGGAGATGATAAGGTAGGTCTGGGTGGGAGTCAGCTGACTCTTTCCGGACAGTGAGGCCTGGGCAACCCTAGCCTCAGACAGCATGCAAATGGAATAGCAAGAGAAGAAAACATTGCTTTACTCACTGGCTTCGAAGGTGTAATTTGATAAACAAACCCTCACTGCTTTCCAGACTGTGCAGTCTTTTACAAATTAATTTTGTTTCTCTAGCCTGACCTGGGAGTTTAGGGCCCCTCCCACCTCTATACCTTTGTGGCTCTCATACTTTCTGTCCCAGGGAGTGGCTGGCATGCCCAGTTCCAGCCCAGTCCCCCAGCCCAACTGGCCAACTATGAATTTGATGTCCTCATCTCAGCTGCAGGGGGTAAATTTGTCCCTGAAGGTGAGTGATCCTTTTCCTCAAAAATAACAAATAAGTTAATAAATAAATAAATACCAGCATCCTAGGCTCCAATAAGCCTTCCTAGAAGTGTCATCCCCACCACTCCCTTCCACTAGGCTTCACCATCCGAGAGATGCGTGGCAAACTGGCTATTGGCATTACAGTCAACTTTGTGAATGGGCGTACAGTGGAGGAGACACAGGTGCCAGAAATCAGTGGTGTAGCCCGGATCTACAACCAAAAATTCTTCCAGAGCCTTCTCAAAGCCACAGGTCAGAGCCCACCCTCGAAGTCCCTCCCCTTGCTGTTCTATGGGGTGTTTCCCACTTGCCTGTTACACCTGCCCTTGGTCCACAGAACCCCATTCTTGTCCATCCTTGTAGTCTCAACAGCAAAAGAGAAAGAACTGTCCTCTAGGGACCAAGCCGCTGCTCAGTGAAAAATTCTGGAAGTGTGTCTTAAATGCCTGGGTGTTTTGCTTTGTGCTCCTTCATGCAGGAGTATAAGAATGATGTAAGTTGGAAACGGAAATGGCATTCAAGAGGATGCCATGTTTACTTTGGCTTTATGCTGCCACATGACCAAGTGATGCAGGCCTTCCAGCTGTCACTCCTCCTGTTTCCCTCTTTGCTCCAAACTGCCACATCTCCTAGGCCAGGACACTTGATTCTTGGTGCTACCAGATCTGTGTGTAGCACACTCACTGCAGCCTAAGCTGTGACTTCGGCTCTGAGATCAGCCATGGATTGGGTGTTTCGAGAGGTCATCTATGCAGAGTCACTTAAGACTCACCTGGCCTCTGCTTTGTTCCCCCAGGGATTGATCTGGAGAACATTGTGTACTACAAGGATGATACTCACTATTTTGTGATGACAGCCAAGAAGCAATGCCTGCTGAGGCTGGGGGTGCTGCTCCAGGTACCGCCTGGACCCAGGCAGGAGAAGGCTGGGCCGGGCAGTCTATTCCCGGATATGGATGTCCCATCCTCTCCTGCCTCTGCCCAGGCAGTAACTCCACTTTGACACGTTCTTGCTCCCTGCATATATGTGGCGGTAGGAATCCTACTCTGGGCTAAACTTATAGATATGGTGCTACACATGTGAGCTCCAGGACGGGAGGATTTTTGTCTCTTCCTCTTACTGGCTGTTAATTCCCAGGACTGAGACTGGTACCTGCTGAGTGGTTAAGCACCTAATATATGCTCACTGAATGGATGGAATAGATGCCTTCCATGTACTGAGTACCACACTGAGAGCTTGCTTTGCGTGTTCTCATCCTGGCTTGCACAAATCCTTTGTAAGATGTGTATTGAAGCCTTGGACAAACCAAGGCTTCAATGATTTCAGGACAAAGTCTATGACAGTAATGACATTGGGCTTCCTGGCAGAGGAGGGATGCAGACCCACAGGAGCAGGGAGGATTTTGAGGAACTGGAGTATGAAAGGCAGGCTGCTGGAATCCTATGTCCAGCCCAGCTTTCAGTTGCTGTGTAGTCTAGGCTGCCTCTCCCCTCTTAGGCCTCAGCATGTGTACCTTCTGTACTGTAGGTCAGTCACCTGTAAACTGGTGTGAAGCTGGGCATGTGACTCTGCTCCCAGAGGTCTCAGGTTCTGATCTCTTGGCCGTATAGGACTTGCCAGAGACTGATCAGCTGCTGGGCAGTGCCAATGTGGTACCTGAGGCTCTGCAGCGCTTTGCCAGGGCAGCTGCTGATTTTGCCACACATGGCAAGCTTGGGAACCTGGAGTTTGCTCGGGATGCCCGTGGGCGGCCAGATGTGGCTGCCTTTGACTTCACAAGCATGATGCGGGCAGAGAGTTCTGCGCGTGTGCAAGAAAAGCATGGTGCCCGCCTACTGCTGGGGCTGGTGGGAGACTGTCTGGTGGAGGTGAGCATTTCAGGAGGTATAGGGGTCCCATGACTAATGAGGAAGCTCTCTTATGGTGGTGTATAAAGTCTGTTTTGGGGAGGAGCTTAGGGGCTACTTAGTGGAGGTGAAAGCTGTGGGGAGGGGGTGGAAAAAGGACTTTCCCCCAAACCTTGGGATCCCTAGACTTGGAACATACCCATTGAATTTTCATTGAGTTCTTTCCTATTCTTAATACCCTGCAGCCCTTCTGGCCTCTGGGCACTGGAGTGGCCCGGGGCTTTTTGGCAGCCTTCGATGCAGCCTGGATGGTGAAGCAGTGGGCAAAGGGTGCTGGGCCTCTAGAGGTGCTAGCTGAACGGTGAGGCTTGGGTTCTGAGACTAGTGCGGGCAGGGCAGACATGATTTGGGACAAGGGTCAGGAAGACCGAGCAGGATATACTAAAGGAACGGATGGAGGCATGGGACTATAAGAAAGACCTGGCAGTTCTTGAGGATGGTGGGTGCTGACAGCTTCCCTCGTGTTTGTGCCACTACCTTCCACCACCACCCCTAGTGAGAGCTTGTACCAGCTTCTGTCACAAACGTCCCCAGAGAATATGCATCGAAATGTAGCCCAGTATGGGTTGGACCCTGCCACCCGATACCCCAACCTGAACCTCCGGGCTGTAACCCCCAATCAGGTAAGACTCTCCACCCTGCCCTACCACCCATCTTCCCAAACCAACTCCTTTCCCATGTGAGGTTTGCCCTATTCAGTTGCTGCGGGGGGGGGGGTGTCTC